TGATTGTTACATTTATTTTTTAGCTGTTTTCCTTTTTATTTTATTTTTTCATTTAGTAACTACCCAGTTCATTTTATATTAATTTTACTTGCAAGTTATTATTCATTGATTTATAGTGATAACAATAACCATATACATGCAGAAAATGACGATTTTTAGTAAAGTGTTGCCTAATAGAGATTTAATCATAAACAGGTTTAAGCATTAAAAGAATGGATTTACAGATGTCTAGCAGTGCCGTTTTAATAAATGATGCCAGAGCATGTGCTTCTCTTTTAGTAAGAAATAGTAAACTCTTCATCAATCCACAATATTGGCATAAAATTACTGTAAGATTTTCCATATTTATTAATAATTGTATGTTTGAATTATTATCATTTTAGATTCATAATTGTGAAGGTATTCATAGGGATGTATTACTAAAAGCAGTTTTGGATGCTATACATCCTAATGATTTGATCCCAGTGCATTTTAGAAAAGAAGATTCCAATGCTTCATTTCTTGCAAGGAATTGCAAAGCAGCAATTGAAAAATTGTGTCAGAACAATTTATTTATTGCTAACCCTTTGAATAACAATTTACCTGTATGTATTCATAAAGAATATGCTATTCAATAATAACAGTTTTACATTTATTTAATAGTTTAAATTATCAATAGTATTGGCATATTCAACAACTAATGATTTGCAAATTAATGTACAAGATAATGTGCTTGAAGTTCTTAATAAAAGATATAATTCCACTACAAAAACACTAAATCTAGATGCTTTCTACAAAGACCCAGGTAAGCTCTGTTTGATAATTAAGAAAAAAACTGAATTGTTTGTATTTTTACAGATTTAGAAGAGTTTTGTGTACTCTCTCAACCAAAAATATTATATTTTGTTTTACATTTAAGTAAAAATTTAATTGTCCAACATCTTAAATTGAGCAATAACGACATAAGTATTCTCAACCCTGTTGAATCTCTTTGGGGAGTAAAGAATTTGACTTCCCTAGATTTGAGGAACAATTCAGTAAGAGCATTTTGAAATATTTATAATCATTTAAAAATCCAAAGTTAATTTTGTTATTGTTTAAATATTAATATTAACATGAGAGGTTTTTAATATGCTATTACAGCAATTACCAGTTGCAATACCTTTTTGTTTAGTTTTTGGCAAAGGATATGTCTTTCATAATGACTAACTGAATACAGTAGACAGTGATAACTTTTAATACAGAACTCTTAACTTCATAATATTTTTCATTTAAAGATTGAATCAATTAAGAAGCTAACCATATTGAGTTCTTTATCAATTCATGATCTTTGGCTTGATGGCAATCCATTATGTGATGAGTATGACGAGTACACATATGTTCAGGCAGTTAAAGAAGTATGCCCTCAGATAGAAAAACTCGTAAATTTTGTATAATATTTACCTCGTCATTTTGATGATAAGAACTGTTTTTAGGATGGAATAATACTTCGACAGAGTGGTTTTCCTGCCTTCCGCCGTAATTATCTATGCAATCCAAAATGCCAGGAAATGATTGATAATTTCATGGAACATTATTTTACAATTTACGATAATAAAAATGAACGCAATAAGCTATTAGGAATTTACGAACAAAACGCGACATTTTCTATTACAAGTAGATATCTTATAGGTCAAAGTACATCTGCAACTGCTAGGTAAAGTTCATTCAAATTTACTATAAAATTGAACATTTTCTTAAAATAGAAAAATACTTTTATTTTACATAATCTGTTTTAAGTGTAAGTTTAAGGTGCTCCTTTTTTATCATTGTTTTCTTTTTGTAGTTTAACACCATACAAACTCGTGTCAAGAAATATTCGTACTCTATCAGATTTAGCGAAAAGCGATGAAAATCTTGTAATGGGCAATGAGAAAATCATTAAAATAATTCAGAATCTTCCACCAACTGAGCATGATCCCTATACATTTACTGTTGACCTCATGAAGTGCACAGTAGGCCAATTTTATTTCATTTTTTAAATTTTTCTTAACTAGTTTTTTAAATGGTCAAGTTCAAAGAATTTCTGATGTGTAACATCTTACCGCTTGCTATGTGCCTATATGGAAGAAAATATTTATTAAAGCTATTAAAAATTAGCAATGAAATAAAATATATGTTTAAATTAAAAATCATTATTTCATTGTTAATGTTTACCATCTTCACTAAATCAAATTTCTTTGACAGTGTAGCTCTTCAACCTCTTTAATAGGTGCTATGTGTTAATGATTTCTATTAANTTTATTGATTCCTAAACAGTTTAGATCATCAAGTACCTAGCACATATACATACGACAACGAGTATGTATTAGTATGTAGGCACTTAAATGTACACCATCTATATATTCCTTTAAGATAATATTACCTAAGATCGTTATTAAAAGAAGATAAATTAAAAATCATTATTTCATTGTTAATGTTTACCATCTTCACTAAATCAAATTTCTTTGACAGTGTAGCTCTTCAACCTCTTTAATAGGTGCTATGTGTTAATGATTTCTATTAATTAATATAATAGTTATGCACTTTTAAAAGACGTTAATTCATTTTAATGTTTATTGATCAATCCTTTTAAAATTAGTACATAAAATATTGACTAATCAAGTTGGGTTAGATGTTGCACATTATTGGCGCAGTGCCAGATTAAGCCAGCGCAGACCTGTAGTAAATGCAAACAAGAGGCTGTTGGTGTTACTGTTCAGTAATTAAAATAAAACAGCACATTTTTAAAAACATTTCTCGTAATTCAAAGAACTGCAAAACAGCAACACAATGCAAAATATAGTTTGGATCTCATTATACGAATATGTTGAACACAATATTAGGGTATTCCCTTGTAAATGTTGTTAACTTGTAAGATAATATGTGTTTAAGTTATTTAAATTTTATTAGGATGAACTTATTTTATTGGTGGTGAACGGCGTATTTCGTGAATGCTCTGACAATCTTTCAGCACCAGAGAGAATTTTGGGTTTTACACGTACATTTATTCTTGGTGCAAATGATAACAATGAATACAGAATTATTAACGAACAGTTGCATGTCAGTAATGCAACTACAATTCAGCAACAGCGAGCGTTTAAAGTAGTTAAGGTGGCAAAAGATAACATTTTTACATCTTCATTTACCGAGGCAGAAAAAAAGGAAATGATTGAGGCAGTCAAAACCTTCACTACAATGAATATGGAATGGTCGAAAAAGTAAGATACTTCTTTTATCTTTTCTTTTAATTTGGTTGGTATAACAATAGTACTTTACTTATGAATGGAAACATTATAACAACAAGTTGAAAAAAGTCGAACTTTCCCTTTTTATTATTTATATCAACATTATTAACTTTAAAATTTTGATCCACCTTTTTATAAATAAAGTTTGTGTCACACACTGTGTGAATATTTTGGTAATAAATACAGAGAAACACATTAGGAATATTTTAATTTTCAGTGCGATTATTTTAATAAATTGATTGTAATTCTTGATGAATTTGTTTAAGCAATATATTCTCTATCAAAATTAGGTTTTTATGGTCATCAAATACCGTTAATTAACACATTTACGATTAGTGGAATAATCAACATGCATTTTCCGTTATTTTTTTTACCACTTACATTATAATATGCAAATTTATGTTTAAATAAAATACATACATATTTAGATATCACCTATTGTAACGATAATAAGTTGTTTTTATAGATGTCTTGAAGAGTGTCACTATAATCTCCCAAAAGCGTTATCATTGTTCGTGGATTTGTACAAAGTGGATAATATTCCTGAAGAAGCATTTCAGAGATAATTTTGCCGAAATAATACTGTATATAGATGGAAATCGTGTATGATAAGTTTAAAATTGTGCTTATTTGATTCAATAAACTGTGAAATAATTGTAAGATTTTGTATTATTTGTAGCGATTCAGATTTTATACATACATAAAGAAAGTATTAACTCAGAAGTCCAAGCATCACTAGCATCACTATATACCAAATTACAGGAACAAAAATTTAATTATGAAAAGATGTACGTTGTAATTCCATAAACGCGCATTTACATTTATATTTTTCAGAACGTTGCAAACAATACACTACCATCATTAAAAGTTCTCAAATCACCAATTTGATTTTTTTAATACATATTTTTGTTATGTAATATTAATTTTTATCTCATGTATTAGCTCATTCATCACCTTGGTATTTACATGACCAGTAAATAAAATTGTATAAATACAGTTTCAATAGAAAAACTAATGTCCCCAAAATAAAATTTATTTATTTAACAAAACTATTTAAAACTAAATAATAGGTATGCATATACAAGTCAAGTGCTTAAAATTCAATGTTGAAAGGATAATTCTTGTGATCCTGGAACTCTGGAAAGTGGCAGATTCGATCATTTTTGTTTAAGGAATCTAAATAAGCCACATCTTCCTCATCTAATTTGAAATCAAAAATATTGATGTTTTCAATTATTCTTGATTTAGTAATTGATTTTGGGATGACAGCAATGCCCAAGGAAACCTAAATAATAACAATGGGAAAATAACAAATATAATGAAGATTCACATAAAACTACATCTTACCAAATAATTTAAGACAACTTGTGCTGGTGTCTTGTTATACTTTTGTCCAATTGCAAGCACATGTTTATCAAGTATGGTAGGATATGGGTAACCAGGAATTCCTGCATTTTCCACTCTTCCAAGAGGACAGTAACCAACTATGACAATATTCTTTTCAGCACAAAACTTGATTAATTTTTTCTGATTAACATTTGGATTACATTCTACTTGATTACAAACTGGTTTGATTTTAGCACTTTCTAAAAGCCTACTTATCTGTTGGCTATTAAAGTTTGAAATACCAATACTTTTTGTTAGGCCTTGTCTAACGCATTCTTCCATTCCTTCCCATGTTTCTGTAAAGTCAACGTCACTAAATGCCTCAGGACATTGTCCAACAGGCCAGTAACTTGCATCTTCCTATAACACAACCTTTTTGATATTTAAACATACAGTTTGAGCAATATTGCTATAATCAAAAACCTAACAGAGCATAGTAATATTGAATGAAAATGTTTCCAATAATACATTATCTGAACTAATAATACATATAGAATATAATAATTAGACAACATACTTTAAAGGCAAAGGGCCAATGAATTAAAAACAGGTCCAAGTAATCCAATTGGAATTCCTTTTTATCATTGTTTTCTTTTTGTAGTTTAACACCATACAAACTCGTGTCAAGAAATATTCGTACTCTATCAGATTTAGCGAAAAGCGATGAAAATCTTGTAATGGGCAATGAGAAAATCATTAAAATAATTCAGAATCTTCCACCAACTGAGCATGATCCCTATACATTTACTGTTGACCTCATGAAGTGCACAGTAGGCCAATTTTATTTCATTTTTTAAATTTTTCTTAACTAGTTTTTTAAATGGTCAAGTTCAAAGAATTTCTGATGTGTAACATCTTACCGCTTGCTATGTGCCTATATGGAAGAAAATATTTATTAAAGCTATTAAAAATTAGCAATGAAATAAAAAAAATGTTTAAATTAAAAATCATTATTTCATTGTTAATGTTTACCATCTTCACTAAATCAAATTTCTTTGACAGTGTAGCTCTTCAACCTCTTTAATAGGTGCTATGTGTTAATGATTTCTATTAATTAATATAATAGTTATGCACTTTTAAAAGACGTTAATTCATTTTAATGTTTATTGATCAATCCTTTTAAAATTAGTACATAAAATATTGACTAATCAAGTTGGGTTAGATGTTGCACATTATTGGCGCAGTGCCAGATTAAGCCAGCGCAGACCTGTAGTAAATGCGAACAAGAGGCTGTTGGTGTTACTGTTCAGTAATTAAAATAAAACAGCACATTTTTAAAAACATTTCTCGTAATTCAAAGAACTGCAAAACAGCAACACAATGCAAAATATAGTTTGGATCTCATTATACGAATATGTTGAACACAATATTAGGGTATTCCCTTGTAAATGTTGTTAACTTGTAAGATAATATGTGTTTAAGTTATTTAAATTTTATTAGGATGAACTTATTTTATTGGTGGTGAACGGCGTATTTCGTGAATGCTCTGACAATCTTTCAGCACCAGAGAGAATTTTGGGTTTTACACGTACATTTATTCTTGGGGCAAATGATAACAATGAATACAGAATTATTAACGAACAGTTGCATGTCAGTAATGCAACTACAATTCAGCAACAGCGAGCGTTTAAAGTAGTTAAGGTGGCAAAAGATAACATTTTTACATCTTCATTTACCGAGGCAGAAAAAAAGGAAATGATTGAGGCAGTCAAAACCTTCACTACAATGAATATGGAATGGTCGAAAAAGTAAGATACTTCTTTTATCTTTTCTTTTAATTTGGTTGGTATAACAATAGTACTTTACTTATGAATGGAAACATTATAACAACAAGTTGAAAAAAGTCGAACTTTCCCTTTTTATTATTTATATCAACATTATTAACTTTAAAATTTTGATCCACCTTTTTATAAATAAAGTTTGTGTCACACACTGTGTGAATATTTTGGTAATAAATACAGAGAAACACATTAGGAATATTTTAATTTTCAGTGCGATTATTTTAATAAATTGATTGTAATTCTTGATGAATTTGTTTAAGCAATATATTCTCTATCAAAATTAGGTTTTTATGGTCATCAAATACCGTTAATTAACACATTTACGATTAGTGGAATAATCAACATGCATTTTCCGTTATTTTTTTTACCACTTACATTATAATATGCAAATTTATGTTTAAATAAAATACATACATATTTAGATATCACCTATTGTAACGATAATAAGTTGTTTTTATAGATGTCTTGAAGAGTGTCACTATAATCTCCCAAAAGCGTTATCATTGTTCGTGGATTTGTACAAAGTGGATAATATTCCTGAAGAAGCATTTCAGAGATAATTTTGCCGAAATAATACTGTATATAGATGGAAATCGTGTATGATAAGTTTAAAATTGTGCTTATTTGATTCAATAAACTGTGAAATAATTGTAAGATTTTGTATTATTTGTAGCGATTCAGATTTTATACATACATAAAGAAAGTATTAACTCAGAAGTCCAAGCATCACTAGCATCACTATATACCAAATTACAGGAACAAAAATTTAATTATGAAAAGATGTACGTTGTAATTCCATAAACGCGCATTTACATTTATATTTTTCAGAACGTTGCAAACAATACACTACCATCATTAAAAGTTCTCAAATCACCAATTTGATTTTTTTAATACATATTTTTGTTATGTAATATTAATTTTTATCTCATGTATTAGCTCATTCATCACCTTGGTATTTACATGACCAGTAAATAAAATTGTATAAATACAGTTTCAATAGAAAAACTAATGTCCCCAAAATAAAATTTATTTATTTAACAAAACTATTTAAAACTAAATAATAGGTATGCATATACAAGTCAAGTGCTTAAAATTCAATGTTGAAAGGATAATTCTTGTGATCCTGGAACTCTGGAAAGTGGCAGATTCGATCATTTTTGTTTAAGGAATCTAAATAAGCCACATCTTCCTCATCTAATTTGAAATCAAAAATATTGATGTTTTCAATTATTCTTGATTTAGTAATTGATTTTGGGATGACAGCAATGCCCAAGGAAACCTAAATAATAACAATGGGAAAATAACAAATATAATGAAGATTCACATAAAACTACATCTTACCAAATAATTTAAGACAACTTGTGCTGGTGTCTTGTTATACTTTTGTCCAATTGCAAGCACATGTTTATCAAGTATGGTAGGATATGGGTAACCAGGAATTCCTGCATTTTCCACTCTTCCAAGAGGACAGTAACCAACTATGACAATATTCTTTTCAGCACAAAACTTGATTAATTTTTTCTGATTAACATTTGGATTACATTCTACTTGATTACAAACTGGTTTGATTTTAGCACTTTCTAAAAGCCTACTTATCTGTTGGCTATTAAAGTTTGAAATACCAATACTTTTTGTTAGGCCTTGTCTAACGCATTCTTCCATTCCTTCCCATGTTTCTGTAAAGTCAACGTCACTAAATGCCTCAGGACATTGTCCAACAGGCCAGTAACTTGCATCTTCCTATAACACAACCTTTTTGATATTTAAACATACAGTTTGAGCAATATTGCTATAATCAAAAACCTAACAGAGCATAGTAATATTGAATGAAAATGTTTCCAATAATACATTATCTGAACTAATAATACATATAGAATATAATAATTAGACAACATACTTTAAAGGCAAAGGGCCAATGAATTAAAAACAGGTCCAAGTAATCCAATTGGAATTCCTTTAAGCTCTTCTTGCACATAGGTACAACCTTATCTTTTGCCATAAAATTGCACCAAAGCTATCAATATTTTAAAAATTTTATACTGAATTTATCACTCTTTACAACTTACTTTACTTGTTATAAATACATCTTCACGTTTAATAACTCCTTCCTTAATTTTTTCACGTATTCCTTCACCGACATCTGCTTCATTGCCATAAAACCAAGCACAATCGAAGTGTCGATAACCGGCATCAATAGCATCCTTTACAGCCTGTGCTGTTTCCTTTCCTCCCTTTAAAACACAACTAGGTAAGGTATAGATAGTAATACAGTAAAAAATAAATTGCAAATACCTTATAAGTTCCCAGTCCAATAACCGGCATATCGCGCCCATTATTCAATTTCAAAGTTTTAGACATTTTCTGATGATTTAAAATACTTGATGAACAATATTAAAGCAAGAACGTAAACAGTTATATTGTGACGTTGAAACTAAATGAGATTACGGTAGAATGAATATTTTCAAATATCTCTTAAATTAATAAAAATGTAAACCAACAGCAACAATAGTAAACAAGAAAACAAAAACAAGGAAGTTATTAGATATACGTCAATTATATCTATAGGTCATATTATGTAACGAAATGTCATGCAGTGGTGGTGACAGTAACTTAAAAGTACATGTTTTCAGCTTTAAGCGTTTTATAATCTTTCAAAAGTTTTTCCCATTTACCTATGCTTATTATTAGTAAAAATTGATTTTAATTGACTGTTTTAATGGATAATTTCAAAATGATTTCAAACCAGTAGGGTTCTGACATGAACAGGTATATGATATGAACATACCTAAAATATTTTGTTCCCATCATGTCCCATAGATTATTTGTCCTAATCATAGATAGTCCTAAAAATCCAATAACCTTAAAGAATAACCTTAAAATAATCATAAAATTACAACTTCAAATTAATAAGAAAAATAGAGTTCGTAACAGATAAAGAATAATTACCTCTATTTTTAAATATGTCTACAAGATGGTAAAGATTTCGGTACTTTATAAATTTCAACTCTTTTAAATTTGTAATCTAGGTATCCAATTTACCAAAAAGGGGGGCCGCAGTTACGAGTTTTTTTACCTAATTTTTGGTTGAAACTTGTTAGGACGGAACAGAAACAACCCCAGAATGTTGTTCAGTTTCAGTGTTCCATGGAAATGACCAAACATGACATTAGAAACTACTTGGAAAAGATTTACAATGTTACAGTTGTAGATGTTCGTACACGTATTGCTTTGGGAAAAACGCGACAAGTTGACAAAGGCTATGTAGTGAAGGATGATGATATTAAATACGCATACGTAGCATTGGTATATAACTTACAATTAGTAATAATGCTATATTTATTTATGTACAATTGTCTTAGCCAAAAGAAGAAAAATTTGAGTTCCCCGATTTATTTCCAAAAGAAAAAGAGACAAAAGAAGCCGATGAAAAAACATTGGATGAAGTGAAAAAGGGTCACAAGAAATTCCTAGAAAAGAATAAAGATAGACATAATATCCCTGGCTGGTTTTCAATTTGAATTTAATGTTTCATTGAGATATGTAGATATTTTTTTTAATAATTAAGAAAAAGCAATTATCAAAGTGGGGAGACATTTCTATTCTTCACATAAATAAAAACAAATAATGGACTTTCAATGTTTAATTGAAAATAACCTTACAAATTAGTTATTTATACCACAGCAACTGATGGTGCATCAGGTTTAATAGCTTTAATGTCACTCGAAGGGTGCTGTGGCAATATCTCCTCCTTGGGTTCTACTACAGACACATTGTCTGGCAAAGGCCTCTTGGGGCCCATTTTACCAGTTGGGTCCCAAGGTAACATAATTTTAACCTAAAATAATTGAAATAAACAATAAATTTAAAATGTGTTCCATTTAAAAGTAAATTGCAGCTCCATATTTTATCACATTCTGCAAGACACTTTCAAATATAATAAATTAAAAGATTCTGCACTTATGACTGCATTAACTTTTGTTAATGGTTAATTTAATAGTGGATCAAATAACAGATACATAAAACTTTCACCCTTAATAATTCATTAGTTTATAATGCTTATGGAGGCCTATCAACCTATATTTTTAAACTCACCTTGATTCCTAACACTCCCTGTCTCAATAATACATGCCTGGTAGCTGTATCAACATAATCATTGCAGGGGTCACCTGAATGAATCATTAATCCATCAACAAATTTCATTGACTTGGCCCTCTGACCCCTCAATTTACCAGAAACAACAACTTCACAACCTAGAAAAAGTAATCTCTTATATTTAAAGTTAATAAAACTATTCCTATGTTTACCTTTTGCTCCGGCTTCCATTATAAATCTCAGAACACCATAACAAGCTCTTCGAACAGCCAAGCCTCCAATCAACTTGTACCTCAGAGATTCAGCTTGGGCAATAGCACACAAACCTCGAGTAGCTACTTTTTCGGCATACAAATCTACTGATTGTTCAGGGAAATTAAATCTTTTTTGTACAACTGATGTTAGTTCTCTGATACGCCTGCCTTTCTCTCCTAAAACGTTTTGCGTTCTGGTAGCCATAATGATAATTTCTGTTTTCGTGGGGGTGACTCGCACTTCCACTCCAGAATATCCATCTTCAGCTAATTCACGAGTCAAGAATTCGTTTAATTCTGCCTTGAAAACACCATCTCCGACAAACTAAAAGCATTTAATTAATGGCAATACATGTTACATTTCTATAATCCGTGAATATTTTTGTCATCATATACAAATTTAATTATTTAATGAAACCACTGTTAAGGTTACAAGTTAACTTATAAAAAAACGAAGGGTTTTTGCAATTAAATTACATTTACCTTACGTTTTTTCGAAATTGAAGTGGTCATTTTGAACTATTTACTATAATGTTTTACGAAACTTGGTTAGAAAGGTCGTCATCTATGAGTTGGCGGAGCTGGAGTTGTTTCTATTGGTCTTTACATTGCCAGCAACTGAAAAAGCAGTCCAAAAGTAACTAAATGTAGTAAGAATAAAAATTCCTACTGTTCACACAAGCTTTTTAAATTTGAATTAAAGTTACTAAAGTTGATAGGTAGATAGTAATTAAAAACAATAAAATATCATCAATAATCAGTATGAATTATAGTCAAATGTTTAAAAAGGAAATTAATGTATATAAAAAATAAATAAACAGATTCTTTGATAGTTTTGATTCAGATAAAAGTATTTATTGCTTTCAAGGTTTTAATAATTTATACCAGTTCCCGTAGGCACTTGTTACATTAGTAGAAATAATAACAAAATGTAGTAATTGTATTGTAAACAGCAATAGTTACTTAAATTTGAATAAATTATAATAATTAGAGAATTAGAATCATCTAAAAATGCTGCGTAATGATACATCATATATTATTGCGTGCACTAACTGGCAATTCGCTTGTAAATATAATTAAATTAAAGGAAATTACATTCTGGATTTATTTACTATAAATTGATTGAAGGTCTAAAGAAAAACAAAAATTTACAGAACATTTATCAATTTCTGGAGAATATGATTTTCTTAAGAAATCTTTTGGCAATTTCCTTACTTGCAACTTATTCACAAGGTTTGTTTAATTTAATTTAAGTACAATAAGTGTATTGTTATATACATTTACCATTTTATTTTAGGTGATAATGGAAGTAGTTTTTCTATGCTTCCTTTGGGAGATACATTAAAAATATTTAATGGAATTCAGTCATCAAACTTAGATTTGCTTTACCTGTTAGGTCGAATAATTGTCAATGAAAACGACGTAAAATTTTATTTGTATACTCAAGAAATTGATGGTGATTACATAGAGAAATCTAATGTGAATAATATAAATCCAGATTTAGAAATAAAAATGATAATCCATGGATGGGGCGAGAATTCAAAAAAAGATTGGTATAAATCTATAACAAAAGAATACTTGGCTAAACAAAATTATAGCATCGTTCATGTTGATTNCAAAAAGCATCATAGGAGTCATTAGAATTTATTCAGGGTATCAGAGTCGAATGGTAACATTGGCAGTGTTGAGATTTTCTAACCAAGGACTCGTATCCAGGTCAGAAATTTATTTAAAAAAATTTTAGGGAATTCAGAATCGCTTAGTTCTATTTATCAGGCTTATCTCAAAATCGCGATTAGATTAGATTAAAGATTAGCAAGAGTGCAAATAAGTTGTTGGGTGGCTGAATTTATTAGGAATTTGCATTAGTTACTATTCATTTGTATATGTAAGAGTAAGGAATAGTGTGTATGAAAATGGGACATTCCACAAAATGAGGCAATTTTAAAAAAGGAAATGATAATATGGAATGACTCTAGTATTACTTCATGTGCACCCTTTCTGTTCGCAGTAGTATTTGTAATAGAAGACTGCTTTAACTTAATTTTCTTATTCATAAAAAATAAACAAAATCTGTACCTACATATGTAACCTTTTGAAGAACTAATTTTATGAAAGCAATATTTTTATTAATAAATCACTTCATTTCACTTTGGCATAAGTACTAAGAGACAATTGGTTAGGTATCATTCTACAGTTTAATTTTCATGCAACGTTTTACTTAAATTACTTATGTTAATATTTTGCATATTCACAAACTGCTTAGGCCTCTTATACTATTCCATCCCAACGCATCAAGAACATATAAAATTTTTAAAGAATTTAATTTTGTTAGAATTTCCAAAACAAATAATAACACCAAAAACCTTTCAGGGAACACTGAAGATTAGAAAATAATCAAAAGTCAGGAATTTCCGAAATAAATTGTAATAATAAAACGAACTATATTAAGATATAAAGATTATACTGCTCCCTTTAGATTACAAACAAACGTAGCCCTGCTAATTTTAAGGCAAACCACCCTATAATCCTAAATATCTAAAATTAATCAAAGAAATCACTTGTAAATCTATAAAGGCATAGAGGGGGCAAATACAATTTTTTTATTTGCACTTGAAATTTAGACATGCAACTAGAAATTTCGACTTGCAACTCGAAATTTCAACTTGTAACTCGAAATCATCATTCAACTTTTACCTTTAGATCAAATCCCCTTTACATGTTTGTAGAAGCATACACACCAGTTATAAAGTAATTTTTAGCCGATAATACTGGCTTTTTCAGAGTTTTACTAGTACTGTTGAATGTATTCAAGTTTTCCTTCAAACCCTTCTATCTTTTTCTATCACATCTTCATCCCCCGCATTGCGAATGTTCAGATTAGGTATTAAGAGTTATTAACAACACCCACTTTGAACATTCAAGTACACAGTATAAATTGCCAAATTTAATATATTAGAACCAGTCTCGCGTTGATAATTCCCACATTAGAAGTGGGCCAAACACGCGTCCTCAGTGACAAAGTTTTGTGGTAATTAGGGTGAGTCCCCTTTTTGTCTCTTATACTAACTGAAGGGCTGGCCGCTCTTTCTATCCCTGTTTAGTCTGCTACTGAATGAAACGAAAAATTCCTTTAAAAATATAATTTGGTACAAATTTTATCTCTTTTTGTTTATTTTGTTGATTGCCTGTCTGAATCAAGTAATTGTACAGGTCAAATAATTGGAAGATTTTTAATTAATCTGAATGAGAATCAGAGGATGCCTTTAGATAATATTCACTTAATAGGGCACTCGCTGGGTGCCCACGTGGCCGGGTTTGCTGGTAAAGAAGTCGAAAAACAAACGGGAAACAAAATAGGTCGTATAACGGGTTTGGATCCTGCTGGTCCGTATTTTGAACATCCCCTCAAAAATCCTGCAGATCGTCTTAGTAACAACGATGCTAAGTTGGTGGATGTTATTCATACGGACGGGGGGTTCTTTGGAGCAATTAATCCAATGGGAACTATAGATTTTTATGTAAATGGGGGTGTACGGCCACAACCCGGTTGTACAACTATTACTTTTGTTACTCCTACCAGTTTGGAGTCTTTTGTGCCTGTAGGTACGTAAGGAATAATTAATAAAGGTATCAGGGTGGTACCTGTTTTGTATAATATGATTTTTTTGTCACGCAGTTTCATTAACGCTTCAAAAAATTATAAATAAATTAATAAATTATAAATATTCATTTAGTTGCTTATTCAAAACATGCTTTCTGAAATGAATATTTGGAAATTGTCTAGATGTAGACCGAGGGGTATTGGAAATGGGTGAAATGGGTAGAATAATCGAATATTGATGTAATCCATAATTAGGGTTCAAAAAATTTTTTACTGTTAAGAAAGGTTAAGCTAGGGTTGGGTTAGGTTACCTTGGCTTGCTCACTTGCATCCATTTCCAGTCCCTTCGACATTGGGCACCTAGATCTACACAATTTCCGAGCCCTTTTTAAGAAGAAAAAGTAGAAAGTTAAGATTAAGGTTAAATAATCTACATCTTTCATGCAAAAGAATATTAATTGTTAAAAATTTGAAAGCTTTTGAGACTGATTAGAAAGTCAAGAAAAAAGAAATTTTCCTAAATATAATAATACTAAAATTGGTTAGGGAAAATACGGATAACTCATCCAGAACGCCCATACTACTGTCCTTATTTGTATTTTGGTACCTATTTTTCCAGTGTTTTGCAGTCATATTAAAAGCTATTTGTATTTCATCGAATCCATCAACTCCAATAACTATCAGGCTATTAAGTGTGATTCCTGGAAATCCTACGAACGGGGGGATTGTAACATGAACGAGAATGCTACATTTGGCGCTAATGTTGAATCTGATAAAAGTGGGAATTATTTTATTGAAATTGATCATTAGAAAAAAGTAGAAAAAAATTAATAAAAATCGCCTGAACATTTTAAAAAACCAAATATATAAAAAATACCCATAAATATCTACTGTTTTTACTGTACATGTGGGTATTGATTTAAATATTTAATTCTATTACAGCATTTAATTTTTTCCATGTACCTATGCAATTTTATTGTTCGATAGCTAACACATGTCAGTTTTTAAGTTTTACGCACCTGTTCGATTTAATGCAATATCTAATACGTATGTATTCACCGTTAAAGTCTAGTTAACTATCTCGATTATGCATTGTGCAGTAAATTTTTTTAGCAAAGTTAGAATCTCAATTAAATCAATGCAGAATTACAAGGCTTTTTGTTTTTTTACCACCATTAGATATCTTTCCGTTCTTTTACCAAGGCCGTAAAGTTCTGCATAAAACATGATCAGTAATTAGATACTTTTACTACTTTACTTTCAATTTTAATTGTACCATATACAGAATCAATGCATAGTTAGAATCATTAAAGATATTTATCGAATTGCGGAATTTAATAAAGTAACAATGTGTCTTGTTGTTCCCGCCAAATTATTTGTTTTGTTAATAGTTTTCGAAGTGTGTAACGGTAAGTATGTATTAAAGTCTTTACTTCTTAATATTAAAAGGGGTAAAATTATTAACAGCTGCCTAATATATGACTGTTTATTGTAGGATATAATTTTAATTTAGAAGACATATTTGGTTTTGTTGGCGGTCTCAAATTCAATCCGGCAGAGTACCTTAAGGTGAACAAAAGGGACATTTTTTTTAACTTACATACTCCTAATTATCCGTATCCAAGAGAAATTGATGAAGATAATTTGGACTTGGTAGAAAATGATAAACCTGTGAAGATTTTACTGCATGGATGGGTTGGAAATGAAAATGTTCGCACATATCAAAATATAACGAGAGAATATATGAAGAAAGGAAATTATAACATCATACATGTGGATTGGAGAAACGTTGCCGTTTTGCCATATGCAGTAGCGTCAGTTTGTTCAAAAGATGTTGGTAAGAAAAATAAAATAATATAAAAAAACGCATTTAATAATACATTAGGCATAGATACTACAGTCGTTTCAGTTCAATTTTAACGGTTTTGGATTATAAAGTCAAAATTGTAAATTTTTTATTTTATTATTTATTACCGGAACAATAAATCCACTCACCCGTATACCTACCACAAGGAAGAGAAAGATACCCTTATCTTTCTCGGCTGGTCGCAGGTAACAAACACTGCTGTACTTTATAAAAGTGCATCTTTCTCTTTATTTAAACAGTTTGTAGAGTTTATCTCTCTCTTATTGCTATACTACCGCATTACCGAGTGCTTTATGAATCTATATATATAAAAGAAAGTCGTGTTAGTTACACTATTTATAACTCAAGAACGGCTGAACCAATTTGGCTGAAAATTGGTGGCGAGGTACCTTAGAACCAGGAGACGGACACAGGATACTTTTTTTTATCCCGTTCCCGTGGAACTTGACATAAAACGTGGTACAAGAAAACGCAACTGATATGGAATAACAAAACGCAACTAACAGCAAAACGAAAAATTTATCAGTTAAAACATTAGTTTGGCCGTTTATTTGTTGAAAATGGTATAACAAAAATTCAATCTCTGTTGGGGGGAGGAGTGGCGAAGAGGAGTTGCAATGTTTAAATGGAACAAATTATTAAATTTGTGGTCAGATTTACTTGAAACTTGTCTCAGTTTTGGTATTGGTCTTGGAATTGCTTATTCGGTCTTGGTGCTGCTCAAATATTCCCAGTTTTGGTCTTCGTCTTGCTTATATATTCTCGGTCTTGATCTTGATCTTGTTGATATGGTCTCCATCTTGGCCTTGGTCTTGCGTGTTAAGTCTTGTTCTTGGTTATTTAATCTAATACTTGTTTTTTTAAACAATTCTTCTAAGCACAAAATTTTCTTTTATCGACACAATAATTGTCTTAAATTCTGAAATTTTCTGCATACATGCGAGCTTGTCATGACTTTTAAAGAAAATGGTGTTGATTGACTGTTCGTGGTACCTACAGTACCTAACTGGGAATGACCGCAGTTGAGAGGATACATTTTAATGTTACAATGTTCTCTTCTTCAGATTTTTCGAATTAAATGCTTACTTTGATTACCCTTATACCAGTTTTCTTTTAGCCAAAGTAATAAGCAGCTTTCTTCTTAACCTTAATGAGAAAAAGAGAATTCCAATGCACCAATTCCATCTTATTGGGATTTCTCTTGGTGCTCATGTGGCGGGACTTGCAGGAAAACAAATTAAAGAAAAGTTGAACACACAAATTGGAAGAATAACAGCTTTAGATCCTGCCGGGCCGCTTTTTGAATTTCCCCCAGCCAAAGAATCAGAAAAATTGACCAAATATGACGCTAAAGTGGTCGATGTTATTCATACTGACGGGGGAATAGTTGGAGCTTTGAAACCATTAGGTACCATCGATTTTTATCCTGATGGTGGTATTAGACCCCAAGAAGGTTGTCCCCTGATACCCGTTGAAAAAGATGTCGGTGATTCATGTAAGTTATCCAAAATTCAAATTAAAAATAGAATATTTATTTTCATCGTAAGACACCCGGTATATTACGTATACTGTAACAAAATTTTTGTACGTAATTACTTATATGTTTCAGTTTTCTGTGGACATTACAAAGCAGTGGAATATTTTATTCGGTCTATAAACTCGAAGGAATTCGTAGGAGTACAGTGTAAATCTTGGTTAAAATTTAAATTAGGCCATTGTAAAGGAAACAAAGATAATATTATGGGTGAAAATTTGATACCGGAAAGACAAGGAAGTTTTTATCTGGTAATGAAATAGTTAATAATATTTATTGATAACATCTATCTAGTAATAAAAAATGTGTGAAGAACATGCGTTAGTTATTATTATTAATTTGTATATTTGTGTTATTTTAAAGCATTAGTAAGAAATAGTGTTTAGGTAAGTATAAGTTGTGCTGTATGTAAGAATATCAACAACATTGAAGACATAGATACCTTGAATATAGGGATGTGTAAAATGGTTTTTTAAAAGTATTTAAATACAGAATGCAAATACATTTCTGATTCGTTATTGCAAATGTAAAATACAATATGGATTTTGTATTTTAAAAGCTAAATGCAAAATACGTATTTTCAAAATATTTTTTTCAAATAAATACTTTTTCGTAATACCTATTTAATTTTCTACATTTACTTAAGTATAAAATAGTTTATTTGTTTTGTTA